TGGTACGAAAGTACGACCATTGCACGCAGGCCGCTATCTCCCGTTCGGGACATAATATCTAACCGATACTTTCCGACAAGTCGGAATTAACTATCTCTGCGCTGTGGTTGTCATTTTGTGGATCTCCCAAGCTCACCTGATGATGGAGTAGTGATCCGAAACCGGTAGTGGGAGCAGGTTGATCCGCATTATGACAAACACAGCGTAGAATTAAATTTCTATATTAGCAGTTAAGTGGCAAGAATCCTTATATAATTTTATTATATACCTCTACTGCAAGAAAATTGTTTTCTATTTCTATTTTATAAAGCAGTTAGTCACTACTGGATAATAGAACGTAACGTAAACAGAATTAATTATTTAGTTCGACTAAAAGACTAAATTAGCAGTAAAAATAATTAATCATTAATCATATGAATATAAAATATAAAGACAAGAATTCAGTCAATATACTTCTGTTAACGATTACTAAGAAACACACTTGACAAATTTTCACTGCCTAATAATTATTTTGGCTTTGAAATTTCAGCCCGAGTAACATCTCGGACACTTCATTAGTTGGCGCTAATAGGCAAACTAATTGGAATTCTAATACGATTCTGCATATTCAGTCATATGTAAGGCGCACAACTTTGACAGATTATTAATTTAAATTGTCTAATTACTTTGTGTACTATGAACGAAAAGTGGTTAATATTCAATTACCTAAAGATTAATTCTCTATACCGGTTGTTTTTCAAAAGTAACTCACCACTATATTTTTTTTTGTAAATAAAATAATGAGATTTGGTATATTAGTATATGACATAAATGAGGATTGATTGACGTATTTCAATCAATTCCTGTTTCACCGGAAATTACTACAACTTTTTGATTTTTAAGTGGCATCGTGGGTATTTTTTACTGCCATATACAGGGTGAGTCTTAAATTAGTGCAAATATTTTTAGGGATAGTATATTTCGACTCCAGAAACACGTCTATGAAGTTTTTTTAGGGAAAAAAAATTAAAAATACTGTTTTTGGATTTTTAGTTTGTTCTTTGAATATTTTAGATAGTTAAATAGCTATCTAATTACCTAATTAATAGATAGCTAATATTTTAAATAGTTAATATTTTAAATAGTTAAAATTAGCTAATATTTTAAATAGTTAATAGCTAAAATTAAGAAATATTTTATAAAACGAAGTACAAGGATGGTCTGAAAAGTTTCCGACCTCAACGTGAAGATGGCAGCACTCGTAGATAAAAGCTAGTGAATTTTCATTGTTCATCTGTTGACAGTTATTCACCAAAATTTCAGCCATTTTGGATGAGCAGTTGTTATGTAACAGCCGTTTGAGTGAGTTGATGTGAGTGTTTTTGCGAAAATGGACAAAATCGAGTATCGAGCTGTCACTAAATATCTGGTTTTGACAGGCAATACGCCTACACAAATTAAACATGAGTTGGATTCTGTGTATGGGGTCTCTGCACCATCATTTACCACAGTGAAATTTTGGGCAGCTGAATTTAAACGTGGCTGTAAGAGCTTGGGAGACGATGAACGTTCGGGACGTCCAAAAACTGTAACTACCGACGATAATATCGCCAAAGTTCACCAAATGGTGCTAGACGACCGCCAAGTTAAAGTGAGAGAGATAGCAGAGATTACGAACATATCAAAAGAACGTGTTTGTCACATATTAAATCAAGATTTAGGCATGAGAAAGCTGTCCGCGCGTTGGGTGCCGCGTTTGCTTACGTAGACCAAAAGCGTGTTCGAATGAACATTTCCAACGTTATGTTGGCGCAGTTTAGGCGCAATAAATCCGAGTTTTGGCGTCGATTTATTACTGTAGATGAAACTTGGATACACCACTACACACCAGAAACAAAAATACAGTCCAAACAGTGGACGGCAAAGGGAGAACCGGCTCCAAAAAAGCAAAAACTGTTATTTCGGCTGGGAAAGTGATCGCGACTGTTTTTTGAAATAGTCATGGAGTTATTTTAATTGATTATCTTCAAAAAGGAAAAACCGTCACAGGAGCATACTACGCATCATTACTTGACAAGCTACAAGCAGAACTTGCGGAAAACGGCCACATTTACAGAAAAAGAAAATCCTGTTTCATCAAGATAACGCACCGTCTCACACCTCAGCGGTTGCCATGGCGAAAATCCACGAATTACGGTTTGTACTGCTTGACCATCCGCCTTACTCACCAGATCTAGCCCCTAGCGACTTCTTTTTGTTCCCTCATTTAAAAATTGCGCTCGGAGGACAGATATTTTCGTCAAATGAAGAGGCAATCACCTTCGTGAACCACTATTTTGCAGAGAAAAACGCCGAGTACTATTTGGACGGGATACAGAGATGGGAGCATCGCTGGGAAAAGTGTGTAGAGTTATAAGGGGACTATGTTGAAAAATAAAAACAAATATTCAGAAAAAATGTCTTGTATCTTAGTTAGGTCGGAAACTTTTCAGACCACCCTCGTAGATATTCTGAATTTTTAGAAAAAAACAAAAAACTTGAAGTGAGGAAAAATATAATTATTCATAAAATTTTCATATTATTTGCTCCAATTGATTTGTGATATAGTTTTTTAAACTCAGATTTGAGTTTCTTTTTTTATTTTTTTTATCTGCAATAAAACTTACCTAGGTATATTTTTTTAACATACGCAATTATACGCCTCGTTATATTTCGTACATAAAGTTCGTAGTAAAAATTATACAGATCATACGGTGAATAATTCTGACTGACAACGAAATCCATTAGCAACTAACTGGAATGTCAATGTTAGTGGGGAACTATTGTGAACTAAAGACCTAGTTTAAGAAACTATTCCTCTGGAGGAACTACTAAGGAACTAGTTCCTCCCAAGGAACTAGAATTCCCACCTCTACCCTGTCGTATTCCTTTGCCATTTGGCAGAAGCGGATTACCCAATAGGCTAACTAGGCTATAGCCTAGGGCGCCGAAGAAAAATAGGCGCCGCGGCGGCGGCATAATTATCCCTGGTTTGTAGACGCTTTGCTACACCAAACTGAACATTCAAAATTTTTGACGGATATTTCTTAAAAAAAAAATTGGATCAAAAATTGCCATTGTCGCGATAATCCTTTGATATTTATCGACAAAGTGCCGCTAACGGAAAAGACCGCCTTCGGTTTGGCAAAACCCCCCTTTGCGCGTTGCGCCGGGGGGGTATGGGCGGCAAATTTTTATTAGCCTAGGGCGCTAATATGTCTTAATCCGCCACTGCCATTTGGAAACTCTGGGATTGTTTTATGTATCATTACTTTTCCTTCGGCTTCTTTGTATATATTGGCGAGAATTTCTATATAAGGCCTTCTTTCGCTAGGGCTTCTATTATTGCGTTAGGATATATCGAGTCGAAATCCTTTTCAAAGTCTATAGAGGCTATGGCTACTGGAAGTGCGTTTTCTTTTGTTCGGCTGATAGTTTCTCTTAGTGTATGTATATGATCAATCGTTCTGAAGCCGCTTCTAAAGCCTTCTTGTTCTCATGGTTGTGCAGCGTCTAGCGTGTTTTGTATTCTGCTTTTTATTTTTTCATATATCTTGTATGTTACTGATAGTAGAATTATTGGTCTATAGTTTCTGATGTCTTCTTTGCTACCTTTCTTATGAATTAGAATTATGTTGGCTCTATTCCAGTCTTGTGGTATATGTTTTCTTCTTAGACAGCTGGAGTTTTTTAGAATTTCTAGGATTTTCCAAGTTTTTCTAACAGCGTACTGAAGTATTTCAGCTGTTATTCCGTCGTTCCCTGCTGCTTTTCCATTTTTCATATATGAAACGCCTTTTTCATACTTCTCCCACGAGAACTTCTGCGGGGCGTCGTTTTGTAGTATGGGCTATATATCTTTCTTCTTCATGTATGTTTTCTGTGGCTTTATATAGGTCGATGTAGAACCTTGTTACCTGGCTTATTATCCCGTTTTTGTCTGTTATTCTGATGTTGTCGTGTGTTAACCCAGATATGCCCAAACAAATTTTGTGTTTAAATTTAACTTAAATTCTTGTTAGTTGTTGTTGTTACCTCATGGCACAAAACAACCAACAAAACTTGGGAAAAAAATCCTATGGTAGTGGGTCCATAAATAATGGGTGTCCTTTTAAAAGGACAGTGGGCAAATAAACGTGGGCAATTAAAACATTTTTTTTATTTAGAATTTATTTTATTAAAAAAAAACTAAAATAAAAGCACAAAGTAAAAACGACAAAGAGTTCTTAATTATGGACGAGTATGATAAGTAATGAAACAGCGCACATGAAGTGTTACGTCACATTTTCGGCATTTTGTTGACACTTTTTTGTGACACACCCTGCATCTCGTTTGTTTATCTTGCTCTTCAATTAGGTGATCCAATCTGTCATACCTCGTTTCCACGTTTTCCAATGGTGATGTTTTAAGCCTTCTACATAAATTAAGCCCCCTATCTTCTTTATTACTTTGAATAAGAGATGTGGCAACATTTCTTCGGAATGCCAAATGATCGAGTTTGCCTCCCTGTTTGCGATGAAGTTGCCATGCGTTTTGCTCAGCTGCATCGAGTAAGTGTGTTATCAGGGGAAAATGCCATTTTTTGCCTCTAATACTGACACGATATAGGCTGATATTTTGATCGCTCCGATCCACACCCCCCATACTGATGTTATATTTTTTTATATTCTGTGGTTGTTGCATAGGCATTCTTTTTTTTTTCTTTTTGAGAATAGCGAGTGACCTGATGTAATGGAAATACGCCATAATAATTTGAAGCCATATGCACCATATTGTTATCGGACCACTTAACAAGGACTATAGAATTATCTTTGGATGTTCTAAAATCAAAATCTCCTCGATTTTTCTTGAGGTCTGAATCAGACGCCAACTGACAATTTCCTAGCCGATTTTTTCTTATAGTCCCCGTAGCCCTCACGCCTTTCTCTGTTAGGGATGATTGTATTAGGGGCAAAGTGGTGAAAAAGTTATCGAAATAAATACTACGGAAGTTGTAATTTCGAACGTAAAACATCAGTGTACTCCAATACAACAGAAGGCACCAACCCTAAGTTTTTGTAGCAATCCTTGATCTCAGATTTTGCGCCCTGATATGGTTCATACCAGTTTATATATCCAATAGCTGAAGCACCAACCCATAGTTTATACCCATACCTCAATGGCTTGCCTCGTATAAACTGTTTACAGCCGTGACGACCGAAGTAAGGTACCATAGCTTCGTCGACGCAATGAAACTCATCAATTGGGGCAAAATCAAGAAATCGACTATTTATTTTATCAAAAAAGGGTCGAACCTTAGCAAATCTATCGTTCTTATCCAAATTATTGTTGTCGCAACAATGTATGTTTGACAAAATATGTTCAAAACGGTTTCGAGACATGGAATTAGACACTATATTATTATGACAATCAGACGAATTTTCCCAAAACATTCTGCGTCTTGGAACCGAAACGTAACCACTCAAGAGAAGTATTCCAAAAAAAACTTTGATTTCTTCTGGGGTAATATCGGACCTTTTGTTTTTACTAGCTGCGTAGTTATTAGTGTAAAAAACAAACATGTCTATTATCTCCTTCTCAAAAAAGTTTTCAAATAACTGTATAGGTGAAAGATTGTTCGATGGCAAAACAAAATTGGGCCATTCAGTTTCAAGACGTGCATTTTTTATGTCGAATTTTTCCCACTTGTACGTTTTTTTCTTGATCTCGTCATAGTGCCTTTTAGACAACAATCCTTTACGCAACTCTGACAGTGGGATTTTGTCTTCATCTTCCCATTCGTTGTCGGAATTATGCGCGAACAATTCGGCTTCTGCTCGAAGCTGAGCAGCTGGTAAATTGTTGACGTCGACAACGTCCTCATCGCCCGAATCTTCATCGGTTAAAACTTCGCAGGAGTTAGTTGGTGGCATAATTACAATATCCACTGGATGGATACCGAGGTCGTCTTCGTCCTTTTCCAAGACCGAAAGAAGATCAGCAAGCGTGTCTCGCTTAAAAAAATGCAGTATATTGGCCCACTGTCCTTCTAGAAGGACACCCGTATTTCCACCCACGTGGACGCAAACAAAATGCAGATATGAACATAACCTTATTTTAATAATGTAATGACACTATTTATTAACTAATTTTAAAACCCTACTGGTTGATTATGCCTTCCAATTTTAAATAAACTTACCCGCTTATTCTGAAGTCGTAGTGAACATCCATAGCGCTTACTAAAACTCAAATATTCACAACAAAACGTTCAAAAAACGTATTGGTTCATACTAAACATACAGTTTATAGCTTAAACACGAAAAATAACATAATTCCATCTAACGGGAACTGTCTGATTTATGATAAGCGTTGTTAAAATATAGACCTGTAAAATGTCCTTCTAGAAGGACAGTGGGCATATCTGGGTTAATGCGATTAGCTGGTTCTTTTCGATCATGAGGCATTTCTTAGTATTCTTATAGTTTTTTTCCGTTTACTATTGCAGTTTGTACGCACTTATTTAAGACTTACCCGGTACAAGGTTGTGAATCTGGAATTAAAAAATCAAAACACTTTGTTTTGTTAGAAGATACTTTGAGAAATATTTTTTATAGATCAGAATTATATTAAATATTGTTTATCCGAATATAGGTATCAAAATTCATATTTAAATAATAATGAATATATATGAAGATTTAATCTCAAAATACTCCAACAGTTTGTCTCTACAGACATAATGTGACGACTTTTCTGTCGTTACCCAAATAGAATGAAAAAAGAATCCGTTGCTCAGGGTTAGAGGAAAGCTGGGTTCGTAGGTAAGGCTTCTGACTCACAGTGACTTTCTAATGTTGTTAAAAAAAAATGATAATATGTAGGCTCCAGAGATTTTAATATTGATGTTAAGAATTCAAATAGGTATGGTCAAAGACAGTGAAAAGGGCGCCACTTACTTTGTTTATGAGAGTGGTAAAGTAAGAAACCAAAAAGAAAAATACGATATCACAACATAGCTAAAATAAAGTAATCAACAGCATTAAGGGTCTATTATGTTTATCAGGAATAAAAGTCAGAAATAACTATCCTACATTAAACATTTATTGAAAACGAACACAAGTATCATCAATTAGTAAGAGTGATCCCAATAAAACCGCAAGTTATTTTAAATAGATTCGAATTTACTAACTGTATTCTTTGAACTAAGTAAGCTACTTAATATAAAAACAGGTGAAATTTATGTATGTCTCAATACGATAATGTTTCGAAACATGTCGTGTACAAAAACCTTTAAAATGAATACGTGTTAATAATTTTCATATAAAATATCATATAGTAAGTAAGAGTGTACTGTACGAATCAAATTATAACTGATAACGTTAAATAAAAAATAATTTTGACTACAATATGTGGGATAAATAGTGATAATTTACCAGGTTATTAAATCTGTTGTCTCAAAAATTATAAAATAAAAGCGTACCTTGTGTATCAAACTTAAGACTTATCTGTATATAGTTTCTTATGATGTAAACAGGTAGGTAGGTATTTTCCAGACTAACAGAAGTGGATGCAGATGACTATGGCAGGAGAAGTCTTCGATGTTAGCCAAAAGGACGATTGTAATGTCAGGAACATTGTCTTAAGATCATGTGGTAGTTACTGAGTACCATGTGGTAATTTTACTTAATATCATGTGGTACTTTTACTTAATACCATGGGGTAGTTTTACTCTATAAATAAAAAAATAGTTCTCAGGACAGATACTCAATAAAAGAAACAACTTACGGTCTGAAAATCAGCTTTACATAAATATATTCAAACCATATGCCGATCCAAACCAGTAATTAAATACTCAAATAAACGAAGTAAAAAACGGAAATAACTGAAATAAAATTTAGTTAGATAGGGCTATATAAAATGGCGGATAAACTTACGGTGATCATTCCAAGAAGAAACCAAAAAATACGATCTATACTCTGGATTGCATACTTTACAAGGTTTTCAAATCTCCAAATCGGATACCCATGCAATCGAAATCGAAAAGTGGATTCAGAGTGCTTTTCACTGGAGAATTTGTCGGACGCCAAAACACGCGTCTTCCTCAGATCCAAATTCCCAGAAAAAGACCTTCTTCTCAGTTTCAGAAACGAAAACAAAAAAAACCCTATTCACCACAGACAAAATGAGAGAAAAAAGTGATATCATATGATCGAAATCATTAGAACAGAAAATCGCAATCCACAGCGACGTGAGATTGGGACAAGTGAAATGCAATTAAAGAAGTTTGGCATATAGCGAATAGATGGCGCTAATAAACAATACAAATGAACTGTAATAAAAGAAGTTTGACATCTAGCGAATAGATGCGCTAATAAAAATTAAATATCGAAACAAGTGACCTGTAACAAATGGAGTTTGGCATCTTTGGCATCTAGCAAATAGATGGCGCCAATACTAAGAAATTTAAATAAAAATAGATTTTTAAATTCAATTTTATTAAGGGAAATAAAAAATGCTACACTGCCCCCCTCCAAAAAAAAAGAAAGGCCCTCAAAGAGGACTTTCGCCCAAACAACACTAAGGAAAACTAAATTAAATTGGTACATGTTTTTAGATTTTTGAAATTAAATTTGGTGGATGATAGCTTCGTGTATCACACGTCCATAAAGGAGTCACAATTGGTAAGTCGCAATCGGTATGTCAAATCAGGGGAGGTTACACAATCGGGAAAGTCAAAATCACCACATAATCCAAAAAAACAAAATCATATACAAAATATATGATAAACTAAAACTAAAAAAAGGTATGGGATAGGAAAAAGAAAAAGAATCCCATGGAAGCGCAGATGTTTCTGAAGATTCACCGGTTAACCACTCAAGGTAACTCACCTGTATGAGAAAAAGAAGGAAAATTACAATAGAAAACACAATAGAAAGACACAAAGAAAGAGAAAAAAAGATTGTCACTAATGACCCAAAATATCCGTAACATCGGATTCCAGCCTATGAAACGCTATTGCAAATATGGAAAGAAGATCACAATAATATCCAAAACACAGTAAAACTTACGAAGTCATGAGGTTAGCTACGTCTCACTTCTAGGTTGCAATCAAAATCATAACAAGTTTTCGTTTTTTCACGAAGTTGTGTTCTTAGAATACACAAAATACAAGAATCTTTTACATTTCAGATTCTTGTGAACTGAATAACAAAGAATAGAGCAAATGACAAAACTATATGAGTGATTAACAGAATTACCATCCCACAAAATATTTACTCAAAATTAGGTAATCTGTAGAATACTCGAAGAAAAAAAAATACTGTCATATGCTCGCATTTCCAAATAGAAATACTATAACATATCAAAAATATAGGTACGCAAAAAACTAAATGACAATATAGTTATACTGATTCGCGACAAATCCGTAAAAAAACGAGAAGCAAATGTTGTATAACTGTTTAATCTGAACTAAAAAAGAAACTAAAATATAATCTATGTATCCGTTAGACTAAACCCTAAAAAGGAATCGGACATAATAGATTATTTGAATTACTGTGACGTAGTCGAGACATTTTCTGTATCATCGTCGTCAATCGTGTGACCTTGGTATGGTTTAAGATCTTTTATATGCCAGCGGCCTGCGTTATTACCATCCTCGTCTACTAAAACATAAACTAAATTCGAAATTTTCTTTCGTACTGAAGATAAAACAAAACGAGGGGCTAACTTGGCTGAAAAGTTAACACCAGCATTTGATAAGACCTTATTACGTCTCCAAACCAAATCACCAACCTGAAAAGATAAATCACGCCTACGCAAATTATAAGACTTCGAGTTTCTTTCAGAAGCAGCATGAAGTTTCTTACGGACTTCGCTAAAGACACTATAAAGATTTTTGAGTTCAGAAGCGTAAGAGTTGCGATCGCCAGGCATAATTTCAAAATCTTCAGAAAATTTAACTTGACCATAATACTTACCAGAGATGGGAATATGTCTACCAAAAACTAAAAATGAAGGAGAAAAACCTGTGACCTCATGTTTAGAAGTATTTAAAGCAAACTGAATATTAGAGAGCTGAACATCCCAATCTGTATGCTGTTTAACATAAGTTCTAATAGCTGTTCCTACAGTTTTATTCATTCGCTCAACAAAGTTACATTGAGGAGAATACACAGCATTATACCAGATCTTCTGAACTTGGTATTTCTTAGCTAAATCTCTAAATTCTTTCGCAACAAATTGAGGACCATTGTCACAAATTATATGTTGAGGTACTCCATAGGTAAGAAAAACTTCATTCTCAAGATACTTCACAATATAGGGAGATTTTGATGAACGCAACGGACACAGAAGAACATACTTCGAAAACCAATCGCCAACAACTAAAAGCCACTTATGACCCTTTTTTGATCTAGGAAAAGGACCCATAAGATCTAAAGCGATTGTCTGAAAAGGCATATTAACTTGCTTTTTTTTCCATCTTACCTAACGGCATAGTATTAGAAGATTTTTGAGCTCCGCAAATACGACAACTCCTAACAAATTTAAGAACATCGGCTCTCATCTTGGGCCAATAAAATTGTTCTTGAAGTCTCGATAAAGTCTTATAAAAACCCAAATGCGAACAAGTTGGCGGATTATGACATGATTCGATAATATTACGACGTTGAGGACGTGGAACAACCTTCTTCCATTCTTGAAGATTTGATGAAAATGGTAGCTGTACCGGAATAAACTTAAAAAGAAAACCATCTTCAACTTTCCACTGTGGAAATGAACCAGGTGAAGCTAAAATCTTTTGCTTCATAGTCTCATACCATGCGTCAGTATGGTCTAAATCTATATTCAAAACGGAAATTTGCGGACATACAAAAGAATCATTATCTGAAATATCTGAAGGAGAAACTTTATGATTGGTAGTGGTGGATCTATAAAA